GTTCGCTGCTGCGGGAGGGATCTCGTTTTCCCGTGCCCGAGGATTATGTGTCATTGTATGGGAGCTCTTACAGCAAGGGGATGACGGTTCTTCAGGAGGGATGTTTCTGCATCCTTCCCAAAAGGAGGAAGAAGACCGAGATCCCTTTAAGACAAATTGTGTTGGTAAAGGAAAGAGCTTTACAGCCAATGAAAGGGAGACATATCACAGGAAGCCATCCTGCACTGCCAACCARGCAGAGGAGATATATTCCATAAGGGAAGTGCAGATTGTTGCATCCTGTAYTTCTGCACTCAGAGCATTTTTATCAKCCACTCTTGACCCAGRCCTCAATAGATTTGCWTAATCTTTTTATGAACTCATTTATYCTCCCTTAATGTCCCAAGGAAACAAGTGACAGAAATTCACTGCTCATTTTTTTCAACGTTACCTAACAGCGTTTGATTTTGCTTGTAACTTGTAACCCAGTTTTAATCCTCCTACTGAAAATTCAGGTGGATCAGCACCAGCATTAAGCACATTCTTATTTCAAKAATCTAAAATCTACCTGCTGTCGGTCAAATTCCTGCATGGCTTTCCTCACAGATGCGAGGTAGGTCATGCCCACGTTGTCTATGGCACAGGGGATGCATCCAGTGTAGCCTGTGGATGGWGGCAAGAGAGARCATTTTCTGCTTGAGAACATACATKGATCATTTAAAGATCAACCACTCTGACAGTRGAGGAGCCTGGAATGAATATAAATCCTGAAAGTGTAGGAAGGAACAATGAATCCACTGAAATTGTAAAATTAACTCTTACACGTGAGCGGTTTTCTCTGGAAGTGTTTTTTTTTTTTTTCTTATGATTTCCAAGGAATACACAAGGAACTGATTTTTGTTGGTCACCATATGGTATGGAAGAACCACTTCATCTTCTTACAGTCTGGTTTTTTTTTTACATCTACAGGTCTTTCATGGGAGAGAATAGGTCTTTCAATTGAGAGAGAACTGAAATTTCATACACATTCAGGGGCTAACAACCACCTGTCCAACCTTTTTTCCTCATCTGCTCTGCCCTCATCTGCTSCAACAAATTTCCACAACAGAAACTTTATAAAGTCTAAAACTACATAAAAAGTAGCRAGGTAGAACCTAAAAGCAACCCAAGCTCCTTCTTTCCAAAGGAATGCTTTGGAGAGAGAAATTTGTCTTCTGCATCCTAAAGCATGGACATTCTCTCATTTTAACTGAAATATTGTTATTTCAGTTTTTTAACTGAAAATACCTGTGTTTTACCTAAAATGACTTTCTGTTGGATGGTATTTGGGATAGGCAGCAGCGGCAGTCTGTATTCTGATATAGCCCCTCCTGGCAGTGTCACTCCTCCGTTTTGTACTGACTAAAAATAAAAGGAGAAATAAAATAAAACTCCAGGAAAACCTGTTTTTCCCTTGKTTCCAGTGTTTAAATCACTGCCGGGACCTGGGGATGGCAACTGCCATTTCCAGTTCTTCCCAGCTTTACTCCAAGAGCTGCCCCAACGATTTCTGAGAAAGTCAAATTACGAGATGAGCCAGTAGCAGACCTTAAAGGGGTTTGCAAAATCCCCGTGGAGAACAAGGGGAGCTTTGGGCGCTCCTGTGCAAATCTGTTTCTGAGGGCAAGGAGCAGGAATGCCCCTTCTTGGGATTTACATCCAAGCCAGCTTTTGACTCCATGCGTCAAACCTCTAATCTCTGCCTTCAGAGGATTTGCAGAGCCACGGCTGCAG